GCGGGATGTCAGGTCGCTGTCTCGACTACGCGCGGCAGCACAGTGCGCAGCTCCATCCGCTGGCACTCTGTCGCCCCCGTGCACGGGCCCAGCTCCCGCTCATCCTTCACTCTCGGACTCCACGCTCCACAGTGCGGACCAGCCTGTTCCAGCTGTTTTGCATTCGCCCTTTCGAGCGCAGCCCTCCATGGGTCGCCCCCAGTTCTCTGGTACGGGCGACGGCGGGAAGGGCGCATGCACAGCCCTCGGACGTTGTTCACGTGACCGCGCACACGCGTCCACTGTCGGAACGCGCGCACGAGTGGCGCCGCCTTTGTATCATGAGCAAATGGATTTCGGACACCATTCATTGCGGTCACACACTTCATTTTCAGGCCACTCCACCTCCCCTCAACGGGATCGTGGAGACAACGTTCACATCGCAAGTACAGTCTCAGGCCCTAGAGCTGGAGTTGCGGGAACTTCTGTCCAAGGACGCTATTTCCCCGAGTCCCTCGCGGACAAGAACTCTCGGGCTTCTACTCCCGCTACTTTGTAGTACCGAAGAAGTCGGGAGGAATGAGGCAGATTTTCGACCTGCCCCTGTTCAACTGCTCCATAGCAGTAATGCATTTCCGCATGTTAACGATGAGACAAGTCCTGGAATACGTGCGGCCCGGGGATTGGTTCACGTCAATCGACCTGAAAGACGCATACTTCCACATACCAGTAGTTCCAAACCACCGGAAGTTTCTGCGTTTTTCATTCAAGGGAGTTCAATATCAGTTCAATTGCCTCCCTTTCGGCTACTCCCTAGCCCCGCGCACCTTCTCCAAATGTCTGGAGACCGTGCTGCAGAAACTGCGCACGGAGGGAATGAGGGCCTTATTTTACCTGGACGATCTTCTCCTGTGTGCTCGGTCCAAGGACGAGGCGTCACAGCAAACCAGGAGGTTGACAGAGCATCTGTCAACCCTAGGGTTTTCTATAAACTGGGAGAAGAGCTCCATCCTTCCATCCCAGTCGATTGTGTATCTCGGGGTGGAGTTGGACGCCTCCCTAATGAGAGCATGTTTGTCGCCTGCAAGAGCGGCAGATCTCTCCACTGTGATCTCCCGTGTACAACCCCGCAAGATTGTGAGAGCCCTGTTAGTCATGAAACTCCTGGGCATGATGTCCGCAGCCCATTCGGTGGTGCCGCTAGGCTTGCTGCGCACGAGGCGCTTGCAACGTTGGTTAATCCGCCTCCGGGTACACCCGATACGTCAGAAGAGACGTATGTTGAGGATTCCCCCTTCAGTGGGCGGGGATCTCGCTCACTGGGGGAACCCCTGCATCCTCTCACGCGGGGTTCCCATCGGACGTCCTGCGTCACACGCATCTGTGTTTACGGATGCGTCACTGTCGGGGTGGGGGGGCACGTATTTGTCCCATACAGATCGCTGGCCCTCCCACACGCACGAGCACATAAATGTGTTGGAGCTTATGACAGTGAGGAATGTGATCAGACACTTTGCTGCCCTTCTCGAGGGCTGTCATGTCAAAGTTCACACAGACAACCAGGTGGCGGCAGCCTACATAAATCGCCAAGGGGGAGTTCGATCCCTCCCACTGTTGCGTGTCGCCACAGATTTACTGTGTTGGACACATGTCCACCTGCTGTCCATCAGAGCCATCTACATTCCGGGGGTCCTGAATGTAGCGGCAGACATCCTGTCAAGAGGGGGACCCCGCGACTCCGACTGGCATCTTCATCCTGCACTGATATCACAGATCTGGATCAGGTTCGGGGAACCGTCTGTGGATCTGTTCGCTGCTCGCGAAAACGCTCAATGTCGCCTGTGGTTTTCCCTGAGTCCCCGGGACGGACCCCTGCTCAGGGCGGACACCTTCTCACACCAGCCCTGGCGTTGAACGCTCCTTTATGCATTTCCACCAGTCCCTCTGATTCCCAGTCTCTTAGACCGAATTCGGTCGGAACAGCTCTCGGTGATTCTGGTGGCTCCCAGATGCTTGTCCGCGTTACGGTTTCCGGACCTGCAAGCGCTAGTGTCCGGCTCCCCGTGGAGGGTGGACGCCCTTCTCCAGGCGGATGGGATAATCAAACATCCTCCAGAAATAGGCCAATGGCTGTGGGTCTGGCCGCTGAGCGGTCACTCTTAGAGGCTTCTGGGCTGCCGCATGATGTGGTTGCCACGATTCAGAATGCGCGGGCGCCCTCTACCATTGCGTCTTACGCTGCTAAATGGGCAGCTTTCCAGAAATGGTGCACAGAGCGGAATGTTCAAGCGCTCTCCTGCCAGCTGGCGGATGTCCTATCGTTTCTGCAGATACTGATGGACAGGGGCCTCGCCTTCAGCACTGTTAAGACATATGGGGGCGACGGTGGCACAGGAGTTAAGTGCTCGCCCCGCAATCGGAAGGTTGCAGGTTCGAGCCCCGCTCAGTCTGTCGCTGTCGTTGTGTCCTTGGGCAAGACACTTAACCCACGTTGCCTGCTGGTGGTGGTCAGAGGGACCGGTGGCGCCAGTGCTTGGCAGCCTCGCCTCTGTCAGTGCGCCCCAGGGCAGCTGTGGCTACATTGTAGCTCATCCCCACCAGTGTGTGAATGTTTGTGTGAATGGGTGAATGACTGATTGTGTTGTAAAGCGCCTTGGGGGGTTTCTGGACTCTAGAAGGGGCTATATCAAATACAGGCCATTTACCATATGCTGCAGCTATCTCATCATGTCATCAGGGTTTTGGAGATAGATCTGTTTTCAATCATCCCCTCACAAAACATTTTCTAAAAGGTGTCAGGAGGAACAGACCTGTGTCCCACCCACTATTTCCCCAATGGGATCTAACGGTGGTTCTGCGTGGCTTATCTGGAGCCCCATTTGAACCCTTGGACCAGGTCTCACTCAAGTTCCTGTCACTTAAAACTGCATTGCTGATGGCGCTAGCATCAGTTAAGAGAGTGAGTGACCTGACCGCCCTTTCAGTGGCTCCCGCATGACTCAGGATCCGGGAAGATGGCGGGTCTGCTGTTTTATGCCCCAACTCAGCCTTTGTGCCCAAAAGCATTAATGCTTCCTTCAAATTCAGGTCAATTTCATTGGCTGGACTTTTTCCTCCTCCCCATAATTCTGCTGGGGAGGCGGCTTCTCACCTTCTCTGCCCGGTGCGCGCGCTTGCACGATATGTGTCACGCACTTCAGGGATTCGTCGCTCACAAAACCTGTTTGTGCACTACAGGGAGTCTTCCCTTGGTCAGGCGCTGTCGACCCAGCGTTTTTCACACTGGCTATGTGACGCTATTTCCCTCGCTTACACATCATCAGGGCAGGATCCCCCTGAGGCACTTAGGGCTCACTCAGCCAGAGGGATTTCCTCTTCGATGGCGCTCCTCAGTGGTGTGTCAATCGAAGACATTTGTCAGGCTGCTTCATGGGCTTCACCCTGTTCCTTTACTCGTTATTATTTACGAGATGTGTCTTCAGGTTCCATCACTCGTTCAGTGCTTGGACCCCAGCAGGCTGAATGAATGCTTATGGCACCTCATTGGCCTTGCTGAGATGGATTTCATCCTCATGTGGATGATGTTTTTTAGTGGGGGCCCCTCTCTTATCGTGCCTGCCTCAGTCTTTAAGCCTGGTCTGAGGCTGAACGTCCCTCACTAGAGGAGATTTGATTGGGGGTGTCCATTGGTTGTGTTAACCAGTGTGGCGTAAACCCATCCAGCTGCGCTTTATTTCCAACAGCAACTCTCTTAAGGGCCAAGACTAGACGAAATAGAACGTTGGTTACATATTGTAACCCCAGATTCTATGAGTCTAGTCGCAGCCGTTAAGCCACTGGCCCCACTGGTTATGATGGGAATAAGAGCCATTGGAGGTGAGCAGTGGGGTCACTGCGGTTATATACCACGAGGGGGCCCACTATTGGTGGGCGTACATTTTAGCTCTTCATGATTGGCTGATGCAGAGATCATCCTTCCAATAGCAGCTCGCTTAAGGGCTGCGGCTAGACTCATAGAATCTGGGGTTACAATACGTAACCAACGTTCTCTACCCTGCTGCCCTGCATGCAGCTGTCAGCAGTTGTGATAAGCAGGAGAGCATGTCACCCACACTGCTCAAGAATCTCTTATTCTTGTTTAACTCCAAGAGGTAAGCAATGTTATATTTTATTTAACACCAAAAGAAGGTGATATTTTAATGTGATTAATGCAGGGGTCCTTCAGGCGTGCTTACAGCCACCCCAGCTGTTAGCATGTAGCTGGTGGAGGTGAGTACACGTGAACATAATTATATGTTATTGATAAGTTGATTTTAAGTTGAGTTAAGTAGCTTTTGTGACTTGTTTTTGACATGCGAGGGCTCTTGGGAGTGTTCTGTGAGAAGTTTAGCTGTAGCTTTGAAAAGAAAAGCAAGCTATATGGGTGATAATGCTTTGATTAGCGTGTCGCTAATAGAAGCTAACTTCTCGTGAGTGAGTGTTAAGTTACTTCGCTGTCTTTTTAACCTGAACAGAGTGTGATGCTGGACAACACACATTAGCCACGTTTACATGCGCAAAATCTCCTCTATCCGATGAAAATCTTGGCTGTTCGGAAATCCCAAATGTCTGTTTACATGGACACTATTTAATGCACCAAGCATTCCATCTGAATAAATAGGTTGAGCATGCGCAGAGAGTTGTCTTTCCCAGAAAAGATGGTAAACAAATGCCATGAAACAAAATGAAAAGTGTAATGTGCAGAATTTTTGATCTGACTGGGTGTTCAATCCAATTACTTGTGCCCATTTAAACGTGGCTAGTGATGGAAATTGTGTGTTTTGTTATACCAGAAGGCTCATGTATGAATGTTATAGAAGCAAAAATGTATTTGTGTTACAAGTGTTGTTAGCAACTTTTGGTTATCCACTACAATCTGTTTTTTATGTAAAATGTGGGGGAAAAAGCTTGAACAGTAATAATGATAACCACTATACAATCACACAGCACAGTAACACGTAAGTTGGTGGAGACCCCCGCGTGAGGCTGGATAACACACATTGATGGAAATTGTGTGTGTTCTGTTGGACCAGATTGCTGCCAATAAAAGCAAGTTGAAGAATAATCTGGTGCCATAATCTGCTTTTTGGTGAATATGGAGCACAAGAGTGATGACACAAATTGTCCAGACCACATCTACTGAACAGGTCAGAAGGTTATCCGTTACATTAGCCGCTCTCCCTTTATTTTATTTGGATGCCTTGATTAGTCTTTTGAAGCTTAAAATAATATGAAGGATTCTTTATCCAAAGATGGATCAGTTAATGGTTTTATTAACAGAACAAAAATGAAAAGGGAAATAACCATTAGGTTTGAATGCATACAAATGCAGATTGTGAGCACACTGAGGACAATAGAACGATTAAATTAAATGTAGCTAAAAAAATTTGGTCAACCAAAATTAAATGCATATTGAAGTTGATGTTAGAATGGTCATCTTAATAACTAATGCTGTGAGTGTGTTTGAGACCGTAAACAAGTGGATTGTGCGTGTTTTATGTGTTTTTCCAATCAGGTGGAGAGTTAATAGTGGCCAAAGATGTGCACCCGTCTCTCAGATGTACCAATGAGAGCTGTGGCTATTTCTCTTTTGTCTAGCCTCTTCAGTCTATCCCTGTGGACGTGGCAGACTGCAGTGCTGTTGAGCCTCAGCTGTGTCATTGTTGACCTCAGCCAGGTCTTCAACCGTCGCAGAGCTCTGAAACTCCTTTCAGCCTCACAGGATGACACTGGGACCACAATTAACAGTCTCACCAGAGTCTCAACTTGTGAGAAGAGCCCTCTGACCTCTGGTTGCATCCCTCTAAGAATTTGGACAGCCTCTTTGCAGGAAGTGTAGGTATGATTTGCTTTAAACATTGCCAACTGAATTAGCATTTTTTGCAGGTCCAGTTCTGGATACAGGCTCACCATATCATTGGTCTTTCCAGTAAGCAGCAGCTCCTCCAGCTTGTTCAGATTTTCCAGGCTCGGCTGGTCAAAGCGATCATGTAGCTGGGTGATCACTGTGTCAATGGCACTGAAAAAATGGACCCGGAAATACTCCTCTGGTGTCGCAGGAGTATGATGCTTGGCTGGACCACCATATTTTCTGGATATTCGGACATGAGGTGGGTGTACTGGCTGGAGGTCCAAGTCTGCAACAAGTCTCACAGCTTTACCATAGATGCCCATGAAACTTATCATTAGTCCTCAAAGAGAGAAAGCCCTGTCTGGTGTATTCAACAGCTTTCAGCATTCCACTGATGGTTTTTCCTCTTGCCTGCAGACTCAAGTTCAGGTCCTCCAAAATCCAGGATCTCTTGTCCCAGGAGAAGGCCAAGAATGGTGTTGCCCTTTTCCAGTCTGTCAAGTAGGCCGTTAGCTTTAGAAGCAGTACTGTCAGTGAGATTTGTAGATGCCATCTCTTCCAGGGCAGCCAAGATGGACTCATATTGAGTCAAGACTGCTCTGATTGCTGGTGTGCGCACAGTCCATCTGGTGGCACACAGAGGCTTGATGGAAGTGAAGGAGCCATTTTTTTATGTGCATATGTCTTTGAATATAGTTTTGCATTTGCTAGACTGAACGAACAAGCAGCCCAGCTCATGTACCCACTGCAGAGCATCCCTGATCACAGGTGTGGAGGTACATGCAGCCTGTGTGACAAGGTTCACATAGTGTGGGCCACAGTGGACAAAGGTGGCCAATGATTGCTCTCTTCTAATCTGAGCTTGTAACCCTGACAGGTGCCCCGACATGTTGGCTGCTCCATCATAGGTCTGTCCACGTAGGCCTGAGAAAGGCAGGTTTAGACGGAGAAGCACATCAGAGGCGATTTTAAAAAGGTGCTTGCCAGTAGGCTCCAGGCCATCATCAACATACCGGAGGCATATTGAAATCTGTTCGGTGCCAGATATATCCTGGGTCCCATCCATTATCAGAGAGAACTGCAGTACAGGTAACCCATGGATTTCAGTTGCTGTTTGTCTGATAAGGTTGTTGCTCATTAACATCAGCAGCTAATTTTGACACACAGGACTTGTGTAGGAATGATTCTTCTGCAGCCAGCTTGCCAGATTGAGGTCATTCTCAGCCTTCTCATCCAGATGCTGCTTGAAGTTTCCGTCATCGTTGTCATGACCGCTGAGAGCTAGGCCCTGTTTTGCAAGGTACCGCACTGAGCTAACAATCTCTATCAGTGCTGACCTGGCCTTCTCCTGTGCACTTTCTGAGATGCTGCATAGTTGCATTCTGACTGACCTGTGTGTGCGTGTGTGTGTTGGCAGTAATTATGTGTGCCCTACTACCAGCGTGCCTGTCAAATGACTCCCTAGCCTTCTTTCAGTTTCTGAACCCCTGAGAAATAAAGGTATGTTCAGTTTATTTATTTTTTATTTTTTTGCCATTTTTATAATGTTCTTTTTAAAAGCAGTTGTGCAGTAGTATTTCAGGACTGTAATGGAGCCAGGGGAAGATTTAGAACCAGCTCTCCTGGAAGTGAAGAGTGCGGTTCGGCAGAGTTTGTGGCTCAATTAGCTGTGCTGCTGGTTGGTATGGGGAACTTGGACCCTCAGCTGTATGGATCTCCTGGTTTGCTTGTGGAGGGTTATCCTGCTTCCCCACATCAGTAGCTGATGGCTCGACCTATAATGTAATTATTCAGTTGTCATTAGTTTCTTTACATAGTTCTCAGAAATGTTTTGATTCTACTGTGTTGTCCAACTGGTCTACTATTGTCATTATGTTATATACACAACTTACTTTTCTGTTTGTATTTTAGTAGTAATTGTAGTGTTGTAGATATATCTGTTGTTTTAATCAAATCTGTTTTCCATCCACATTTTTGTACAAGTTGAACCAATGCAAAGCTCAGCACATAGATAAAACTTGCATATGTTTGCTTCCTGAACCCTCACCTGCTGAATCTGATCGAGCTTGTTTCAACACTCTCCATTTCTTCATCCAGTGATTGCACTTGCTGTAAGAGTATACCAAGGTTGGTTTCATATTTACTGTAAGGTTATATCTGATTTTCTGTTGATTTGAATTTCACCTCTGCATTCTCAGCTGCCTGTTCCTGCGTGTCTCCATTTTGCTCTGCCACATGCTGTTCCTGATAGAAAAAGGGTATTCAAATAAACATTACAACTTGTGTGATTTGATTTTTTTTTTATTTGCAAATGCAGCATAGACTTTGACTTAATTATTTTTGGTTTTGTTCGAAATGTATAGGTTCTTTGGGTGTCCATTAGTTGGCATCCAAAAAGGAGATACATTCCTGAAGCACTGAACTTGTGTTGTTTACTTGAAGATAGCTTTTGACTTTAAAGTGTGCCGGTTCTCTGTGGTTAGAAAATATAAATAACTTCAGCTAGGCTAATAAGTCAAAAAGTAAAAAAAAATACCTGTGGAAATAACTTAACGGTTTAAAAAAAGATACCCTGAAACAAATTGGTCAGTCATATGTGACAAAAATCTGAATTTTTTTTCAAATATATAATGAAACAAATTGCACTAAGACACATGTAACTCTAGGGGGGTGCTGATTCCTACTGAACAAACGTAGTGCTATTTTGTATTACCAATGCCATCAAAATCTGATTTAAGGTTAACACAGTTTTGCAAGGCTAAGAAAGGGCTGGTTAAGGTAATGTAAGGGGGTTAGGGTCACGCTGTTGGAATCTGGTTTCCCAGTCACTTTTACACCCCAAAACGTTATTCTGAGACTTATTCATTTACACACTTCAACCTAAAATTGTATCCCTCTAATTTAGTTATGGATGGGTCATTTCACATAATAGGACCATTTGCTAGATGGGGACCTAGTTGGAATTTGTTAAACAGCACCACTCAGTGACAGGTGCAACACCTGGATGTTAGTAGGCTACTGCAACCTTTCAGAACCATCCACTTGAGCAGGTCGGGAGTATATCACGGCTGCGCTCTTGTATTCTGAAAACGATGAAAACCTAGACATTTTATCAGTTTATGAAATCTTCCCAGATGCTCCTAATAGCACATAAAAAGCAAAAATGTCACGGAAAAAGAGGTTTGGTCACCTAGCATAAAGTGCATGGTTTTTAACCGTTATTGCTGCTAGCTAACTTACCAGTAGATGAGAGAAACATTGCCCTCTTTTATCTACTACTAAGTAAGTCAATATCAAATGATAAAACTGGATATCTTAGTCTTTTTTGTGGGATGCACTTGCAGCTCATTTTTTCTTGCCGAAAAACCATCTGATATCGGTTGCGCTCTTTCTTTTCGACATGGTCGACGGACACCTACTTTTCACCTTCTTCACTTTTTAAAAAATCAATTAATCCGGTAGTTCACGGACAGCTAGGTTGTCGGAACGTGGAGTTGACCAGAGAATGGAGCCTGATATAAAGATGAGTAGTTTTCTCTGAAAATCTAATTTGACAGTCACAAATAATATAACAAGGATATATATAATATGATACAATAATAATAATAATACAAGAAATTTTTTTGCTAGGCTAGCTATATGGATGTAAAGATTCCACCTTGCTTACAGGCTAATGGGGGGTTTCAGTGCCTTTGGAATAACAAAACAGGATTTTTAATAACTGTCAATACACTACTGTGCATATTGGAGTGAAACATTAAAAACTGATGAATACTTAAATATGCCAGCCTATTTAATGATTGTCCCCAGCAATTTTTAAACCCCACTCAAGTGTATGGTTATTGTCCCCAGCAATTCTAAAAACAAACTGACGCCCTTGGCCTGAGCAGTTTTGTGTCTGGCCAATCACAGCACTCTACACTAGGCCGACTTAACGCTAGAGCTGAGACCAAGAAAAATTGCTCTTCTTTGAAACAGCTTTGGCATCAATTGCGAACTATTTCAACTTATCTGTGAGACATAAGCAGGTTGAAATGCTTAAAGTCATTTTTTTAGAAAAGGATGTATCTGATTCTCCTACTTTGACGGTATACAGTGGACTGCTCCATTGACTGACATCCACAGTGGTGAGTACATCACATTATCCGTTGCTTCGATTTGTCCTAGTGCTGTCCAATTGCGTGTGGAGACAGTTTGAAAAACAATTGTAGATTTTGCCCATGACTGGGTTGTGACAATTCATTGTGGCAGTCCTATATATTTACATGTATAAGATGGCAGACAACTTTGTCCAAAACAAATTTGGGTTTCCTCAGAATAAATGAAAATAAAATACATGTGATAAGGTCTTTTAAAATTTTATTCGTATTTCTTCTGCCTTGGGTTCATCTTCCAACTGGGAACTTACGCTGAGTTATTTGTACTCCCTCCAGGTTCTTCCTTTAAACCAATCACAAACAGGCTAGATTGATAGGCCATTTACCTGTTTGTACGTTTGAGTGAATGCATAAAAAGATGTTTCTGTTTGTGTGCTCTTGTGATGAACAAGTGACCTGTCCAAAATGTATCCCGCTTTTCTTTCAAAAACTGCTGGAAGAAATGGCCACCAACATAGCTGGTGTCGGTACTAGAGCTGCTCGAGCAGCCAGATGCTTGGGTCCTGCATCTGCCAAACACGTCACAGTAAATGATTAGCTTAACATAAGATTTACAAAAGTTACGATACCACATTTGTAAAAGTTACGTTAGCACGTTGACAATGAAGATTTTGATTGGTCAGAACAAAATTACAGTTGTAGTCTTTGTGGTTGTAGTCCTGTAGTCCAAAAATCAACAGCTTTCAGAGAAAATATGTTTGAATTTCCAAACGACATGTAAAATAAAAGCAAAGTTATCAATTGATAAACGGTGACCCTCAAAAACTCTTGATTTTGATGAAATGGAGCTAAATAAAATATAAGAACTTTATTGAATGAACATCAAGCAACCATCAAGCAACATTTTAAATGAATTAACATTTTAAATTAATTAACGGATATATTTACATAAACAAAGATAATATGGTGCTATATTAACTCATTCACTGCCAGCCATTTCCTGATCAGAAAAGGCCTTCGCTGCCAGCATTTTTCAGCGTTTTTACTGTTTTTTTTAAAGAGTCACAGAACGTTGCGCGCTTGGATGATGTCAGCGTCAAAACTAACAAAGCAAAGAGTAGACTCAACTCTTACATCAGGAAGAATCAGCGTGTTTAGAGCTTTATCCGTTCCTTCATAATCCGTTGTCGAATTGTGATCGGCAGAAGCTTTTCCGGTTCGCGCCTCACTTTTTTTTACAGCAGCAGCCTGAAACGATCTCCTAACACAAATTTTCTGCTTCCTGATCATGTGATGTGTCACGTACGGGGATGAAGATCGACTTTAGAGCTGGGATGTTTGTTCTCATGGTGCGGGGGTTCGTTCCGATGCCCACACAGTAAAAAAAATGCAAATAACGACTTTAGCCGTCAATGACAGTTAATGAGTTAACTAATTAAAATGATAAAGAAAATATTTAGGTGTTAACAAACATGAATTTATTAACAAAATTGCTGATGTCTTTCCAAAACTTATGTGTGAAAGCAGAGTGGATTTGCCGTAATGTGACGTCATCAGCAGGCGCAGGACCCCTAGCCACACTGGCAGCCCGAGTCGTTCTGGTACAGACACTGGTGCTCTGAGTAAGGCTAGGCTACAGTGTGACCTTAAAAGGTAACAGCAAATCTTTACTATGCTGTGTTTAGAAAAGAATCACGCAATGGAATTTGAAGGACGACACAGAAGAAACGTACAAAATATAACAGTTTTGCAACAGTAAATCAAACCTTATTGTTTTAATCATGTTATTTATCTTTGAAAACGTTTGCGCTGATCTGTTGTTTGAGCCACCTGGGAGAAGTTTACATTTTCACACCTACACCTCATTTTACTCTTTTTTTCCTCCAACTTTTTTGTCTGTATGTTTAGAATCCAGAGCGCAGATATCCACTCACAATTTTCTTTTTCAGTTTGAAAGATCCCAATCTACTCTTATCTTTTCTTTTGTTATGTCTTGTTTGTCTTGTAAACACCCTGCAGGCTCTAATTTAAAGTTGAAGTTTATTCTTTGTAAAAATTCTTTCCTTACTTAAAAACAAAACAAAAAGGCTGCTGTTGAAATTATTTACCTGAAACCAATTTCAGCGTTGTCTCATTTTCAGAGCCACCTCTAGGATAATGTTGAATTTGTGTAGCCCACATTACAGTTTAAAAAACAATGTGGAAGGTCAGAAGTTCAGCAGGAGGAGAAACTTGAAAGTTTTCACTGCAGAGAAAAAAGGATGATGTGAGGAAAGCAGAGGGTAAAAGAGACAAGAGAGAAACTTTTAATGGTTTACATGGCTGCTACACGTCTCACAGTGTCTCCTTCACTCAATGTCATGGCCTTTTCCCACTGACAGGATGCTAATGCACATGTCACCAGACAGACGTTTCCCAAAGCATCCTCTCTCAGTGCTCCTTTCTGTCATTTACATATCCGTCATAATGTCCTCAATGTCTTTCTGCCCTTCTTCTTGCTTCAAGCATGCTTGCCTCATCCACAGTCATATGACTTCATCTTCAAGTCATCTGCTCCACTTGTCTTCATTCTGTCTGATTTCCCATTTAGTTAAGTTCAACTGCAACTTGAGCCCGTGCGTGTTCACTGGTTCACACATGCATGCACACACACACACACACACACACACACACACACACACACACACACGCACACACACACACACACACACACACACACACACACACACACACACAGTGTTAGTATTTATAGAGCATCGGACAAGAAAAAAAGTTGTTCAGAAGTTAACAAACTTTCAGTTCCCTAAGTTTTTACTCACTGGCTTCAATTAGAGCCTAATTATGGTGTGTATCTTCACACTTAAAACACTACTCAAAGTTCCATTAAGAGTTCACCATACTACCATTCAGAACTAAATTCAGATTGAACCACTTCTGTTTAGTGCTGCCATGTGTCTCCAGCCATTGTGATTACCAGACTTGCCCCCTGAAAAAATGGAAGTCCTCTGTTTGTTCAAGTTACTTATTCCTTGCATGTAGTTTCTACATAATTGATCATGTTTGTAAGATGAACATGATTTATTTGTGTAAACTTAATTTAAAAGGGTACAATGTGGTTTAAACATGATTCCTTCTATTTGGGGTAACATGAATAGATTATGTTCGTGATCCCGCTCGACCATTGCTGCTTGGATGGAACAGATTTCCCAGCATGCTCTTTCTAAATGTTGAAAAGTAAAATAAATCAATTAATTACAGATTGAGTTCAATTCACTTTTAAAGTATTATAAATGAAATGAAATATACATGTGCTAAAAAATTGTTTTGTGAAGTTCATAAGCTGGCAGTGAGCAAAAAATAAAAACTATGACTGAAAAGGATAGTGGTACTGAGGGCTTCAAAAAGCATTCAGCTGTGTCCCAACTAGAATGGTCTAGAGACAGATGGGGACATTGACACTGAACCAACAAATACGGTAGATGTTTTTGTTACATTAAATTTATTGAAATTCAGAGACCTTGTTGAATACAAAATACTCCAGTTAATGTTCATAATCAAGCAACAACAATTACCAGTCAGTATCCAAAGACTTTTCAAACATAGAAAAGGTAAATTTGGTTTGAGAGGAACAAGTATTTTCATAAAGCCAGCCATATGAACTAATGCTAAACTACATAGTATTTCAACAAGAGGAGTCCAGTTATGGAACAACTGTAGTGATGATATAAAATAATGTCAAAACATTGGAATTTCTAAAGTGAAGATAAAAACATATAATTAAAACATACAATAAAATAAATTAGACTCATTTCTGTATTGAGTTCATCATAATCTAAGTGTGTTGTAATGGTAAACATGTATGTATGTACAACCTGTTTCACTTTTGTAGAATGCTGTGAACATTTGGCATTTAATTTGACCTCCTTATTGGCCTAAAGAGTGTTGGGCAAGTTAACAAATTCTTTTTTTATTCAAAGAATTTCAAATATTGGAAGCTATTGATATTATTATTATTTTTTAAAGGGGGCAGAGATTAACAAGATATTTTCATTCTTGATTGTTTATTTGCATGTTTGTGTTTGTTATTGTGTGTGTGTGTGTGTGTGTGTGTGTGTGTGTGTGTGTGTGTGTGTGTGTGTGTGTGTGTGTACTTGAATGAAATAAAGGTTAGAAAAAAAATACACACTGAAAAATGGGCTTTAGTGAGGTTATCTGAATTTTATTCACTCGATATACTTAAATGAATCATTTTGAGTCAATGTAAGGATACTACATTCGTCGTCGTCGTCTTCCTCCGCTTATCCGGGTCTGGGTCGCGGGGGGAGCTCCAGACCGTCCTCTCCCCGGCCACCTCCACCAGCCCCTCCGGCAAGACCCCAAGGCGTTCCCGGACCAGATTGGAGATGTAACCTCTCTAACGTGTCCTGGGTTGACCCGGGGGCCTCCTGCCGAATACTACGTTGATTCAATGTAATCTGATTAAATTAAACCACCAATTGTCAAATGTGTTGGTTTGACAAGATTAACACTGGGTTATTGTACTTGGTTAATTTATGTGGAAATAAGTGCCATGATTAGATTGTGTTCATCCAACAATCAAGTTTTTGGGTCCTCTTCTGTCAGTCCATATAAACCCCTTTCAGATCTGTTTTCCAGTACTAGTACATCTTGTTCAGTTTCTGCTACAGTCCACCAGCCTTTGAGTCTTGAATAATGCTGTTTCATCTCCCACCTGGTTATGTCTCTGGACTTTAGCTGAAGTTGGCTAATCCTTGATTCTCTCAATATACTTTTTAAATTTAAATCTCAAACATCCACATGTTTCTTGTCTGGCCAAGGAACGCCTTGGGATTCCCCCGGAGGAGCTGGCCCAAGTGGCTGGGGAGAGGGAAGTCTAGGCCTCTCTGCTAAGGCTGCCTCCCCCACAACCCAACCCTGGATAAGCGGAAGAGAATGAATGAATAAATCGTTACTAGACCAGCTTCACATCTGAGATCAGGGGCAGCACCAGGATCTTTTCACTGCAGTTGCTGCACAGTTGTTTAGTGAGTGGTTGGGGCTGCTGCATTCCATCACCTAGGACTGAAGAGCAGGGGGGGACTAAAGAGTGGGGTTGGTGGGTGTTTAAGGAAATGGGGTTGCTAAGCCATTGCTTGCCCTAATCTTACTGTTGCTTTAGCAACTCCTAGCTACCACCTGGCGCCGTCGATGTCTCAGGTTACCTAATTATTGGACTTATCCTCTGTGTGTACACAACCCTGCTGTTTAATAAATAAAATAAAATGTTGGACTGATTCCTGTCTCCACGACGGAAGCAGGTGTAATTAAGGGGGGATTTAATCGGGGTGCCAGCCAGGTCTCTCTCCTGACATATAAGACATAAATACAATTATTAACAACTTTCCCTTGTAACTCACCCTCACTTCACAACACAAAGGATGTAAACAATTTGAAGTGTTTATCACCCTAACCTGGACTGAAACAAACAAACCCAAATAATCACATAAGCAAAAGGCAAAAAACGGGGGTGTATTAAATCAGATCTTTTTCAACAACATATATAATAATTAATGGAAAGGTCCGAGAGTCCCGTTCAGATAAATTCAGTTCCGTTCAGATAAATTCAGTTCAGTTCAGATAAATTCAGTTCAGTTCAGATAAATTCAGTTCAGTTCAGTTCAGAAAAGAAAAATGTGCGTCCATAATATACTCAGCAAAAAAAAACTAAGATTATCGCTGATTCAGTATACAGCAGCTGCAGCAACCGCTGCGTCGATCAGCTGTTTACTCACGGTACCGCTGAGGTCCCGACAGGCCGCTGCTTCGGCGGTTCACCAGAACAAAACGCTCCCAGCTTACTCCTCCAGCACATCAGATAAGTCACATAGGTCAGCTAGCCTCTCCCTAGTCGTAGGTGCGATAATCCTTAGTCCATAACACCGCTTGGCAGCGTCCGATCAAAACTCACTTCCTCCTGTCTCCAGCGTCCTCCAGACAGGTGAGGGAGTACCACTCTCGGGGGCGGGGCATGTCTCCTAACTCACCTCTTATAGAAGTCAGGCAGACAAAATGATCAATAAAACAATACTCAACGTGATGCTGTCTTTCTCTTAGGTCACAGAAATCAGCAACAAAAATAAAAACAATAACCTCCAAACTGTATGTCACACATATAAGTAATTTAACAAGTTCAACCAAAGCCGATAGGCACCAGGTGACAGACATGGGCTGTTACACACCCCCTCCCTTGCAATAAGCCAAAGCCTGCGTAGGCGTCAATCATATAGGCTTTTGGTTTTACATAAACCCTGAGAAGTCTTCGTCACTGCTATCCTCTTCAAATATCCGAAAGAGATTTTGTCGCTGTGCGTGGTCGACTTCCTCTGCAAGAGGATAGCAAGGTTTTAACTGGGTTGCATGTACTACCCGTAGGTCCTCTCCGGTGTCTTCCATGACAACTTCATAATTCAAAGGCCCTAACTTCTGGGTGATACGGTAGGGACCTTTCCAACGAGGGGCTAACTTGGCAGAATAAGCCAGATCAGCTCTCGAACTGGGATGAGTGCGGAGCCAGACTCGATCTTGTGACCTGAACTCTGGTTCTCTTCTTCCTTTGTCATAATATTTCTTTTGTTTTTGGCGAGCCTTTTCCATGTGTTGAGAAACCAGGTGTTTGAGTTTTGTCAGTTGCCTGGCCGTGGGATACGCATGAGAGTCAGGATCACTGAAATGGGGTTGGAGTTCATTATCCAGGGGTCCCTTTAAAGAGCGCCCTAGGTTGAGCTCAGCAGGGGTTACTCCTGAGGACTCATGTACTGCTGAGTTGAGGGCAAAACGGAACTCTGATAAGTACGTATCCCAGGTTTTGTGTTTTTCCTCTACGTAGGATGCGATCATGGCTTTTAAATTTCGGTTTATTCTTTCTGTTAAGTTCGTTTGGGGATGATATGGTGAAGTTCTCTTCTGCTGGAGATTCCACCGTTTGCACGTTTCCTCGAAGACAGATGAAACAAACTGTGGGCCTTGGTCCGAAAGGATGTAGGTGGGTGAACCCCAACGGGTGAGAATTTCCTTTATCAGGATTTGAGATACAGTCTGAGCTGTGGCCTTACGGAGTGGGAATAACTCTATCCATCGAGTATAGTAGTCGACAAAGACTATCAGGTATACATTTCCATAGGTGCTCCGGGGAAAAGGCCCCATGAGGTCCACCCCCAACATCTCCCAAGGGCCACTGACCAGAGTCTGTTGAAGTTTTCCGCGGGGTTTCCGGTTCTCTGGTTTATAAAGCTGGCAGATCTTACAACTGCGAACGTAGTTTCTTACGTCCAAGCTCATCCTGGGCCAATACACAAGTGACTGTAACCTCTTGTAAGTTTTAAATCGTCCAAGGTGGCCAGATAAGGGATTGTCATGGGAGTGATGGAGCAGCTGTTGACGAAGAGGTGAGGGGATGTAGATTTGATATATGGTTTTATGCGGTAGTTGGGTCACTCTGTACACTTTATCCTCTATGATGGTGAACCTGGTGGTTGGACCTTCAATGATTTATCCTGTTTCAATGATTTTTTCATACAGGCTTTGAATATCCGGATCCATCTGTTGTGCTTTCCAGATATCCTCGTCTGTTATATGTAATTCCGGTGAGGAGTCCTTCAGTGAGCCCAACACAGCCGCACACGTAGGTATTTGATTGAGGTCCACTGGAGCTCTTGATAGAGCATCTGGTACGGTGTTATATCTGCCTTTACGGTATTCCACCGTGAAGGAGAACTCTTGTAGACGAAGAGCCCACCGTATCAGTCTGGTGCTGGGTTTGGTGGTCTTAAAGACCCAAACAAGGGAAGAATGATCCGTAACAACCGTGAAGTGCCTCCCTTCCAGATAGTATCTCCACTTCTCAAGAGCCCACACCACAGCCAGACACTCTTGTTCTGTGGTAGAGTAATTTCTCTCTGCCTTATTAAGGGTGCGGCTGGCAAAAGCAAGAACCTGTTCTGTCCCGAGTCCTGTTGGTTGAGTCAACACAGCCCCTAGACCTACTTCACTGGCGTCTGTGTATACTATAAAAGGGAGGTTGAAGTCTGGATGGCCAAGTATTGGTGGAGAGACTAGATATTTTTTAAGAGTTTCAAAGGCTGCTTGGCATTGAGGTGTCCAGATGTACTTTGCTCCTCTCCGTTTCAAAGCATGAAGTGGTTCGGTTAACTGTGAAAATCCAGGCACAAAGCGATGGTACCATCCAGCTATTCCAAGAAACCGCTGTAGCTCCTTTATGTTCTGTGGGACTGGGAAATCCTGAACAGCCTTGGTTTTTTCTGCGTCTACCTCCACTCCAGAGGAGGAGACCACATGTCCTAGGAATTTTAGTGAGGTACGGAAGAAGTGACTCTTTTTCATGTTCACCGTTAACTTCGCCATTTGCAGTTTGTCAAAGACAGCTTGAAGGTCAAACCTGTGCTGCTCTGGTGTGGATGAATAAACAATGATATCATCCAAATAGACAAAACAATTTTTTCCTCTCAAGTCCCCCAGAACCACCTCCATTAACCTTTGGAAGGTGGCAGGTGCATTTTTTAGCCCAAATGGCATCACCTTAAATTGATACAAGCCGAGGGGACTGATAAAAGCTGTTTTCTCACGACTCTCTTCCTCCATTTGGACCTGCCAGTAGCCACTGTTCAGGTCCAACGTGGTGAATATGGCAGCTCCAACAAGTGATTCTAATATCTCCTGAATGTTAGGGATGGGATAAGCATCAGTACGGGTTACGGCATTTAGTTTTCTGTAATCAACACAGAATCGTGGTTTGGACTCGAGTTTTTTTGGTACCAGGACTACAGGAGAAGCATAAGGAGAAGTGGATGGTTCTATTATATCTTTCTCCAGCATTTCTTGTACATGCTCCTTAATCACTTGCAACTTGAAGGGTGATACACGGTAAGGCTTTTGTTTGATGGGCACATTGTGAGTGAGAAATATCTTGTGGGTGAGAAGGTTAGTACGGCCCAAACTATTGGTACAAATATGTTTGTTATTTTGTAGTTGATACAACAGTTGTTTCTTTCCGAAGTCGTCTAGATGGGCATTTTGTACAGCCATTTCTAGGTAGTTGTGAGGAGGAGATATTAATTGTGCCGGAGTCATTGCGGAAAAGAAAGCAACATGTGGTTGAGAATGGTTTCCGGGCTTCCCAGCAGATGCACTTATAAATAGATAGCGTTGATGCTTATTGGCTTTGAACCAATAACTGTTTTCTGAGACATCAAACTGTAAGCCTGAAAAAAAAATGAAGTCGAGTCCAACTACTGCAGGGAAAGCGAGACTTTTTCCAGGCAGGATCACACAAGGTAATGTCACTGTTGCAGATTGTATAGTCAGTTTCAGTTCACTCCATCCTAGCGGTTGCCGACTTTCTCCGTCTGCCAGATATAAAGGTCCCCTGGTCCAGGGCTTGAGAATCTCCTGTGGATCACGTACTGTGGACCAAACATTCTCATTTATCAGGGTGTACGAGGAGCCCGTGTCCAGGATGGCAGTTCCTGACCACGCACCAACATTCAATGGCATCATTAGCTGACAGGGCATGCTGGTTCCAGCAGGTGCAGGAAAATAACTTACAGAGGCAGTGGCTCCTTGTTGGGTATGAGGGGAAAGTGAGTGAAATGGTCCTTGAAGTTGCCTTTGGGGATTACTAGAAGTTTGTGGACTGGATACGTTTGGAGCCCTATTTTTATCAGCCCTCCACTGGGGGCATGAAGCAGGTGCATGGTGGCCTTTGCAGCGCCAGCAGTACACCTGAGGTTGGGTGGAAGCTGCTGGGTTCAGTTGGCGTTGTGTCGTTTGTGTAGTGGAAGGTGTGGGAGTTAGGTTGGAAGGAGGCTTCTGAACTGCCTTCCGCAGACCTTTCCTCTGTTCATATTGCAGTTGGTTTTGTTGGTCCTTCTCCAGTTGTTGTCCCAGACGAACAAGTTCATCCACCGAGGTGACTCTGCTCCGCAGTTGACTGGCGAGTTGGGGGTTGATATTCTTTAGGATCAACTTCACAACATCCCCTTCCGTTATAGAGGGCTTCCATCGCTTGCATAGCGATTGATACATGTAAGCAAAGTCTCTGATGCCTTCATTCTCTTCTTGGATTCTGTTACGCACTCTTTCAGCCAACTCATCCTCATAGTCCTCAGATAGGAACGCAGCACGAAACTGCTTGTTGACTACAGTCCACGTTTGGACTTTATGACGGGCCACATCCCACCAGTCCCTGGAAGTACCGTGAAGCACATTACGGAGAGTGGCCATGAGCTCCTCATCAGTGAGTGGGTTGAGGGCTAAAAAATCTTCACATCTCTCCAGGTACTGAAGGGGGTCCGAGGAGTCATCGATTCTTCCAAATGTTGGGAACTGTACTTTAATGGGAGCCTTTCCCGCAAGCCTGCCCCTAGTTTCTCCTTGGATGGCAGTGCTTCGAGGGGAGTCAAGCAGATCATTTGGTTTACTGCTCCTTATTGTCGACTGCAGTCTGGGGTGACCTGCATGTCCCAGCGGTCTCCCACCTAAATCATCTGGCATGGTCTGCACGCTTGCCTGTCCCATTGAGGGGTTTAGCCGCGTGGAGGTGAGCTCTTCAGCCATGGTGTGCAACGTGTTAAGACAGAGGGAAAGCTCCTCTTTCACTGGTTGGATGATATCTGGTATGAGTTTCGTGGTAATTTCAGTGTACTGATCTTTAAGCCTCCATCCAAGGGAAGCATCCAGCTGGGTTCGTAAATACTCAACTCGTGTATCCACATGCTTGACTAGTTGTTTTTGCTGCTCCATAAATGACTCAGTCAATCTTTCCTTCAGCTGTTCCATTTGAGAGGTTATTCCTTTGGATAACTCTGCAATGTCTAACTTTATTTCACCTATTTCCAGTTGGTATTGGGTCTGGTCTGGATGTGAACCGGAACAATTCACTGTTTGTGTGCATTCATCTAACTTTCTGCTCACAGGAACAGGGCTGATGGCCTCTAACGGAGTGGCCAGCCCTGGGAGCTCAAACAGCTCCATATCCAAAAGGGAATATGATGTAGGAGGCTCATCAGGCAGGCCAGTTTGATTCTCTGACCCAGCTTGTGCCGCCATTTCCAAATGTCCTAATTTGTTTAGTCTTCCTAACCCTTTACAGTCTATTCTTTATTCTGTATGCTAACTATTTATTTGTTATTACCGGGTTTGTATTTTTCAGTATATTTAATATCCGCCCTTTAACGGTCCCATCTGGGGTGCCAATTTTTTATGTGACGGAAGCAGGTGTAACTAAGGGGGGATTTAATCGGGGTGCCAGCCAGGTCTCTCTCCTGACATATAAGACATAAATACAATTATTAACAACTTTCCCTTGTAACTCACCCTCACTTCACAACACAAAGGATGTAAACAATTTGAAGTGTTTATCACCCTAACCTGGACTGAAACAAACAAACCCAAATAATCACATAAGCAAAAGGCAAAAAACGGGGGTGTATTAAATCAGATCTTTTTCAACAACATATATAATAATTAATGGAAAGGTCCGAGAGTCCCGTTCAGATAAATTCAGTTCCGTTCAGATAAATTCAGTTCAGTTCAGATAAATTCAGTTCAGTTCAGATAAATTCAGTTCAGTTCAGTTCAGAAAAGAAAAATGTGCGTCCATAATATACTCAGCAAAAAAAAACTAAGATTATCGCTGATTCAGTATACAGCAGCTGCAGCAACCGCTGCGTCGATCAGCTGTTTACTCACGGTACCGCTGAGGTCCCGACAGGCCGCTGCTTCGGCGGTTCACCAGAACAAAACGCTCCCAGCTTACTCCTCCAGCACATCAGATAAGTCACATAGGTCAGCTAGCCTCTCCCTAGTCGTAGGTGCGATAATCCTTAGTCCATAACACCGCTTGGCAGCGTCCGATCAAAACTCACTTCCTCCTGTCTCCAGCGTCCTCCAGACAGGTGAGGGAGTACCACTCTCGGGGGCGGGGCATGTCTCCTAACTCACCTCTTATAGAAGTCAGGCAGACAAAATGATCAATAAAACAATACTCAACGTGATGCTGTCTTTCTCTTAGGTCACAGAAATCAGCAACAAAAATAAAAACAATAACCTCCAAACTGTATGTCACACATATAAGTAATTTAACAAGTTCAACCAAAGCCGATAGGCACCAGGTGACAGACATGGGCTGTTACAAGTATTTGAAGTCAGCCATTTGTGACACAACTTGTAAGTTCCTGTTCGTTTACCATTTTTCTTAAGATGAATGAGATTAACATACCAGACTGATGGATGACAAAATGCATTAGTTTGCTGATTTTTATCAGTAGATTTGAATTTTGGATTAATAAGTATGATGAGTGAAATTAATGTATTCTGTCCACATGAATGACAAGAACCAAATCCTTTTCAAGAGCTTGAGGAGTACAATGAGCTAAACCCATTCTACTTGGGATTTATCGTGGCTCTTAGGCCATGTGCACATATAGCTGGGTTTTTGTGACCAGGATTTCCTCTTCCGCCCATCTTGGGGAAAAACTTGTTTTCAGCTAAAAAAATAAAAATAAAAAAACACCCATTGCATTGTGAAGCATATTTTTAGGCATGCCAAGCCTGTAGGCGGCAGTAGTTCCACAAATTGTCAGCCTTTGCTGAAAACATTCAGTGGACAACTAGGTGGTGGACAATAACCTTTTCCTGTGGTCTTCTACCCCAAGAAGTTATTCAGCTTGTAAAAACAAGTTGGTGTAAACACAGGTCGCACATGTACCTTTTAACTAAGCAGCATAATTAACTGCATTCAATTTGAGTGTTTTACTTTGTGAAGGGCCTTGAGATGACTCTTGTGATTTGGTGTTATAAAAAAAAATGAATTGAATTAAATCAGAGCATTTTGTCATGAGCAGTGACTTAAAATGTAACCCTCGGCTATGTGTGTATGGGGTCTCAATGTAACAAACTGCATAAACGTCATCAAGACCACCTAAGGAGAGGCATTTATCAGTGTACCAGTCCAACATGGACCACCAACACGGTTCAGCTGGTGCAACAGTCCTGTCCAAAACTTGTCAAAGTGGAAGCCTGGCACAGAATTTCTTGACAAACAATAATTCACTACAACATATTAGGTAAACATCATCTTGTCATCATCTCCTCAAATCAGGGGCGGAGCTTGATATGTGCAACATGTGCGGCCGAACAGGGCGGCAGTCTGCAGGGGGCGGCATTTAGTTTCCTTTTTTTTTTTCTCAAAAAAAATTGTTTTAGCATCAACCAATACATAAACAAAACATAGAAATCGCATGTTCTTAATAATAATATTTCTGTAATGAAAGCACAACAAAGTCATTGTTTGCGTTTATATTGTGATTTTATTGCGCCCCCTTGTGTCTGCCGCGCCTCTGTGGATGCAGGGTGGGATAGTGCGCTATATAGCGCCCTTCATCAGGTGGGGGCGGAGGGATCTCGGAGAATGATGGTGGAGGGATACAGGTACCGTTTGACATATCACCACTCACAAACATAATGGAGAAGAAACGGTTGAAGCCATCTAGTGCCCAATTTAGAAAAAAAAAAAAGAAAAGCAGGAGAAACAAGGAAAAGATGCAGGTATGAGTGTCTTTATTATTTAGTTGGTATTTTTCCCGCCTGTCCCCCAATTTATTGATTAACTAACTTCTAATCTGTACGTTTTGCATGGTGCTAGCTTCTTTTTTTTATGGTGCTAGCTTCTTACGTTGCATGTATTTAGAACTACTTCCAACCGCTAGCTTTTTCTTTGTCAAATGAGCTTTTATCAAAAGCTAACAGTGGGAAAACCGAAAGGCTGATAACTAAACGCTAGCACATAAAAATTAGTCTTCGTGAATTTTGCTGAAGTACTTTGATATTAGTATTGATCACCACCGCAGGTTGTCCTGCTTTCTTGCGCCATTCGCCTTTCTTTTTGGAATCGGGAAATGAGCTATTATTTACCCCATGAAAAACGGAGCGGCAGCGGGCCGCTGGAGGTGCCCTGCTAGTAAAATCCAGTTTAAACTGTAAACTGCCATAAAGTAAAAACTATAATAGCTAGAGCGGTCTTTTTTAGCTGAAAGTTGAGACTCTCGCCTTTCAGCACATCTGTACTGTACAAGTCGATGATGTCATCATGTTGCGTTAAGTGTGCTGCACACTGCGGCTATGTTAAAAACTCACAGTGACCAAGAAGCAGCGCGGGAGAGTTGAAGAATTTAACCAGTTAAAATGGATTCATGGATATTTAATCAATAGTCGTGGCTCCTCTTGTCATTTAGATTTTTGTCTGCCGGAGACATTTGCTGAATAAGGAAATAGAAACTTAAAATAACAAAAAAATTAGGGAAAACCCCTTGTTTTGTATCTTATTAATTATTAATGATTAATTGATTGTTGGTGTTTTAACTTTTGGTAAAGGAAAACACACAATTTCCAGGCAGCCCCAGTCTGGAGAAGTGATGGTGACATCAGCCGTTAAAAATAAATAATACTCTGAGGTTTTTATGAATACTTTGTACTTTTACTTGAGTATTTCTCTAACACCAGTACTTTTACTTGTAAATGAGTAATATTTTAGAAATGTAACAGTACTTGTACTTGAGTACAGATTTTCAGAATTCTTTCCACCATTGCTGAAAACTGTAAATGCTCATTGTAACATGTAAATTAAAATGCTAAAGCAACAGACGTGACATGAAGATTGTATTGTTTGTTTTATGCAACATCAGGAGCCCTACGCAGATATTTTGGGATGACATCAGCTGCCACTGAGGAACAGCCATCTACCTCCACTGCTCATACCAGTAGGCCAGTATTTGAACTCGAGGAGGGACAGTCTGCTGGCACCACATCTCCCCAGGAAGATACTTTATGTGGGCTTGGCACATGTGTGTGTCCAGCAAACATTTAGCTATAGACATTTAAATAGTATTTTCACAGAATATGGGAATTGTTCCATATAGCATGTGGTGAGTTATGCTTCCATTTTCTGTCAATAGAGAGACCTACTAGTATATGTGAACTTGATGAGGGACAGCCAGCTGCCACATCTCCCCAACAAGATACGTCAGGTAAGTTTTGCACAAGTGTCTGTGTGTGTGTGTGTGTGTGTGTGTGTGTGTGTGTGTGTGTGTGTGTGTGTGTGTGTGTGTGTGTGTGTGTGTGTGTGTTTGTGTCCTGCAAACATTAGAGAAATTTGAATGTCACATATTGTATTTTAATAGAATATGTGAAATGGTCCACATAGCAATGTGTTGAGTTACGCTTCTGTTTTCTGTCAATAGAGAAGCCTGAACGATCAACCAATGAGTCCCATTGAAGGTGATGATGAGCCTCTTTCTTCAGACCCAGCCAAGTGGTCATCACCAATTACCGACAGCATACACACAGAGCTAGTTCGAGGAGGACCTACTAAGGTGCCAACTACTTTCATATTTCCCAGGAATGAAGGCGATGGCAGATGTCATCATCACTATTTCAGTAGAACTTTGACAAGTGGTGAGAAGGTGGCCAGGAGCTGGATGTTGTATTCGGTTAGCAAACGCTGTTATATATAATACACTCCACGCAATTTGAAACAAAGTTGTAGGTGTAATTTTTTTTCTTGTGTGTGTGTGTGTGTGGGGGGGGGGGGGGTTGGGGGGCTCACAGGGGGATCTCGCCCAGGGCGCCATTTAGGCCAGCTCGGCCTCTGCCTCAAATTATAGCATTGCAATGATGTCACAGTTTGCGCCCATGTTAAAGGGAAGCTTGCTCCACTGTTGCTATATGCTGGCTTAGTGCAAGTCAGTGACTCTATGCAATCATTTTTTTTACATATATTTTAACTGATTGGCATAATGAACTGAACTCAATGCATTGATAAGTAGGCTCAACTGGAATTGTTACTATTTAAAGTGCCTTGGATTACTTGTGATTGGGCACTATATAAATAAACTGAATTGAATTGTATGACGCAATCCAACACAAGAGCCAGCTGAGAATTCATTTAAGAAAATCCTGTGGGTTACTTCTCGCTTTTAGCTGCTTCACACACTCTGAAACTTTTATCCAGGAAGTCATTTCTAGACTGGACACTCAAGTTTCCACTCTATATTTAGTTATTTAGAAGCCCTCCTTTTACCCCATCAGCCACCTGTGGGCTGAGTATGCTCCTCCCTCAGGGATGTTATGAATATTACTCCCCTCTCCCTGCCATCTGGCATGCTGAGCTCGGTATTTTCAAAGTGAGATCAAAAACCAGACCTCATAGCTAAACGAATTCTGCTTTCAAATTCATTCAATGTAAGTTTACTCACCACATTAAAGTTAAAGTTGTTAGTTCCTTTCAGAAATGGCACATCTGTGCAAAGGGAAATTGTCTGGATTTGGTCATTGGAAATCTCTGTTTTGATGTTTTAATGGGCCGATCACATCATGACGTTTCTAGTTGCTGACTGGTGATACATTAAAATTTGCTTATTAAAGGCTAGTAATGCTAAAAAGAATGAATGGATTAATGAATGGATTAATCAGTGGATGTCATCTGCAAATCTTTCAAAGGCAAAAGAAAACTGACTAGCTTTCGAAAAGCTATTGTATTTGTTTTTTTTATTTCTGCCTTTGCCCATGGAGTGCATATTTCATTTCAACACGTTCTCACACCCTAAGCATCAGAAACTAACGCTTGGTCACTCACTTTCTGCATCAGATACCAACGCAGAAAGTGCCCTTTTTCGTATATATGTGACAAAAAGGGGTCTCCGTTGATTCTAATGCAAATCCCAGTGCAGCGACACAGTGACGAGTTTGGATGTCCTCTTGCGCTGCACTGAACACGCATATTTCCCCATCATTTGGATAACTTTGAGTATTTTTCTGACATCTGTGGAGCCACATTTAAACACGGACTTTGCGGCAGCTCATGCTTACATTTATATAAATTGTGTGGACTTCTGAACGTAACTACTAGTCATCTCTACGTCATCTATGAGAATCGATTTATTTACAATACAGATATAAAACACCGGCATGTTTATTTAACTGCCGTAGACGACAATTTTCATTTATTTGTCAGTAGTAAGCCGTGTTTATTACTTCTTTGTTGCATTATGGCAAACATAGCAAACTAAGTTTCCCACAATCCTCGGCTGCGGACAGAGCGCGAGCATCTTTTTTACCTAAAGAAACGAGACTCGTGTTTCCGTTGTTTCTGCAACAATCTCGTACGCGTGGCTGTGAAAGCTCTGCAACAAAAATGTTAAATTGTTATTATTTTTATTTTCAAGTCCCTGCAATGGAACTATTCCTCATGGATGTGACAGAAGAGCCACATGTTTTTCCATTTATCAAGGTAATACAAAAACACCGTAACTGTTTTTTTCCTTTGGGAATGCAACAGGCTCAGCCATAGAGCTTAACAACACCTCTGTCTATGTTTTCTGTCAGCCGATTGCCACTGACAGCTTTGTTTTCATATAGTAAACTTGTAGCAGACTTTTAGCGTGGCATAGTGTTAGCAGAGTTTCGTTTACCCAGCGGTTGGTCCAAGACTCCAAATGAATCTCCAGGATTAAAAAGGAGGAAATAAATCCATAAACAGAGCGTCTGTTTCACGGGCCTTCACTGGTGGTAGCACACACTGATTGCAGCCACTAAACACCAATGCTCCCTTTTATTGGTCACTTTACGGGGTCAAAGTTTAACTTCCTCTACAGGTACTTTTCAGAATAAAAGCATACATGTATATACACACACACATTCTTATCTACATATTTACACAGATGCATAACATAACAGAGCATAACAGAGCACATTAGACTGATGCTTAACACCCCCACTTGCTCTGTGATTGTTTGCACTTGTCTTCTTGTTTTAACTTCACATTCCTTTTAATGGTAAACACCCATCTTCCCCCCACTGTCTTTCTGCCTTCTGGCAAAGTTGTCAGAGTGAAAGTGTCATTGTCTTTCAGTGAGGCTAGTTCTTCCTCCATGGCTGCTTTCCATGCCTCTGAGTCAGGTGATTTTATTGCATCTTCATAAGTTAACGGTGCATCAGTAAAAAGTCTGTAGCAATAGTCCAAGTTAGTTAAAACTTGATCATCATCCTCTCTTACATAACCTTTTGTTGCATAATCATTCAAGTAACTCGGTCTCTTTCTCTCTCTGGTGGGATAACGCGATGTTTGTTCTGGTTCATCTAGAGGTTTTGTATGACTCGTTCCTTCTCCTGGGTCTTCCTCTTTCTGCCCGGGTGTTTTGTCTTTAACCTCTCTTCTTGTCCTAACTAGGAACTCTGGTTCATCATCTGACACTATCTCTGTTTGTGTCTCTTCTTCAGGTTCTCTTGTTAAAAACTTAACTAATCTGTGTTTCAGAATCTTACCACTTTCTGGGAAATAAACCAAATATGCTGGACTAGTTTTGTCATGACCCACAAAAATCCCTTTTTCACCTCTAGAGTCAAGTTTCCCTTTGTTCTGTTTGTACACAAAACAGGGTACACCAAATTTGTGCATTTTTGACAAGTTTGGTCTTCTACCGCTTAACAGTTCATATGGTGTTGCTTTCAAACGTCTATTATAACATCTGTTCCTCGTAATAGCCGCCGTTTGAACAGCATAAACCCATAAGGACTTTGGTAGGTTACTCTCTAAGAACATACATCTTGCCATATCAAAAAGCGTTCGCCAGCTTCGTTCAGCTGTGCCGTTCTGGTGTGGGGAGTAAGGGGCTGAAGTTTCATGTCTTATCCTATTCTCCCTGAGAAGTTTCTGGTACTCTCCACATGTAAACTCAGTTCCATTATCTGAACGTATACACTTTATGGTTCCATATGGTGCGGTGTCAGCAATGAATTTCTCTGTTGCTTGAACTGTATCACTTTTGTGTTTGAGAAAATACACAAATATTGCACCGGAAAAGTCGTCAGTGAATGAAACAGCGTACCTAAATCCCTCTTTTGTTTCTGGACTTATTGGTCCTGCCAGATCTGTATGCACGAGTTCCAAAACATTCTTAGCTTTAGCATCCAGCTCTCTATTTCTTGTCTGACAAAATTTACCTTTTATACAGACTTCACAGTCTCTTTCTGTTCCAACAGTTTTATCCTTGATGTCCATCCCATCTACTACTCCCTGCAGTTTCTTAATGTCATCAAAATTGCAGTGTCCCATTATCTCATGCCATGTTTTCAGGTCATAAGAAGCATTACATTGGTCTGTTTGTTTTCTACTCACAGTTCGTAGATAGAATAGTCTGTTGTACTCCTTGATGGGGAATCTCGTTCCATCAGAATGTCTCAGTACATTGTTACCTCGCTTGAAGATGACCGTTGCTCCATTGGTAGTAGCTGCCTTCACAGAGAAAATGTCTTGTGGATATGAAGGGATGAATAGTGCTCTCTTTAGCACCACCTTGTGTTGGACCCCTCTGCTGTCGATCAATGTTACCACAGCCTCTCCTCTTCGTTCAGCCACTCCTCTGCTCCGGGTTCCGTCTGCCAGCTCGATGTAATGCGACCTCGGCTCGAAGTCCTCGTCGAACCTCCTGAACCTCTCTGGATCCGTGATGATGTGAGACGTTGCTCCTGTGTCCACCATCAGATTCCTAGTTCTGGTTTCGTCCATCTCGCCGTCAGCGTCTTGTAGTCGTAATGCGTATTCCTTTCCCTCGTAGTCATCAGCAGCTTTCCGTGCTTCATCATCTCGATGTTTCTTTCTGCACACTTCAGTCTGGTGCGTGGTGGTCTTGCAATAACTACACCACTTTTTGCGGTCACATACATTAGCTTTGTGTCCCTTTTTACTGCATTTAAAACAAATAAAATCTTTACTATCAGCGCTCCGCTCGTGCACGCTTGGTTGAACATATTTCGGCTTTGGGTGCTTGACCCTCTGATTCATCCGTGCTGCCATCACATTGTCCTCTGTGGCAGTGTCCACACGCAGTTTTTCAGTTTCTTCATAACTTCTCAGTTTACTTTTAAATTCTGAGAAAGTCATGTCATCATCACTTTGTGTCACATGGATTCTAAAAGGTGTAAATGATTCAGGTAGACCTTTTAAAACCATTGCTATTAGCAGTCCATCGCTCAAAGTTTCACCTGCGGTTCTCAGCGCTGTAATGGCGGCCTCGGCTCTCAAAACATAGTCCGTTACACTCTCGCCGCTCTTCTGCTGTAATGCAGTCAGTTCGGTGTATAAGCTTATTATGCGGGGTTTTCCCTTCCCAGCATAGTGTTCTCTCAAGATAATTAGAGCTTTCCGCCCATCGTCAGCTGCGTCTCTCATCACCAGTGAAAGGCTCT